TATACAGTGGAAGTGAGAAATAGATTCAAGGGATTAGATCTGATAGAGTGCCTGAAGAACTATGGATGGAGGTTTGTGACATTACACAGGAGGCAGTGATCAAGACCATCGACAAGAAAAAGAAATGCAAAAAGGCAAAATGGTTGTCTGAGGAGGGCTTAAGGAGCTGAGAAAAGAAGAGAAGCAAAAGGAATGGGAGAAAAGGAAAGATATACCCATTTGAATGCAGAGTTCCAAAGAATAGCACAGAGAGATAAGAAAGCCTTCCTCAGTGATCAATGCAAAGAAATAGAGGAAAACAATACAGTGGGAAAGACTAGAGATCTCTTCAAGAAAATTAGAGATACCAAGAGATCTTTTCATGCAAAGATGGGCACAATAGAGGACAGAAATGGTATGGACCTGACAGAAATGGTATGGACCTAACAGAAGCAGCAGATACTAAGAAGAGGTGGCAAGAATACACAGAACAATACAAAAAAATCTTCATGACCCAGATAATCACAATGGTGTGATCACTCACCTAGAGTCAGACATCCTGGAATGCAAAGTCAAGTGGGCCTTAGGAAGCATCATTATGAACTAGTGGAGGTGATGGAATTCCAGTCGAGATATTTCAAATCCTGAAAGATGATGCTGTGAAAGTGCTGCACTCAATGTGTCAGCAAATTTGGAAAACTGAACAGTGGCCCCGAGACTGGAAAAGGTCAGTTTTCACTCCAATCCCAAAGAAAGGCAATGCCAAAGAATATTCAAACTACCACACAGTTGCACTCATCTCACATGCTGGCAAGTTAAGTTCAGTCAGTCGCTCAGATAGGTCTGACTCTTTGTGATCCCATGGACTGCAACACACCAGGCTTCCCTGTCCATCACCAACTCTTGGAGCCCACTCACGTTCATGTCCATCGCATCAGTGCTGCCATCCAATCATCTCATCCTCTGTCGTCCCTTTCTCCTCCTACCCTCAATCTTTCCCAGCATCAGCATCTTTTCCAATGAGTCAGTTCTCTGCATCAGGTGGCCAAAGTATTGGAGTTTCAGATTGAACACCAGTCCTTCCAATGAATATTCAGGACTCATTTCTTTTAGGATTCACAAGTTGGATCTTCTTGCAGTCCACGGGACTCTCAAGAGTCTTCTCCAACGCCACATTTCAAAAGCATCAAGTCTTTGGCACTCAGCTTTCTTTAGAGTCCAGTTGTCACATCCATACATGAATACTGGAAAAACCATAGCTTTGACTAGATGGAACTTTGCTGGTAAAGCAATGTCTCTGCTTTTTAAAAAGCTGTCTAGGTTGGTCATATTTTTTCTTCCAAGGAGCAAGTGTCTTTTAATTTCATGGCTGCAATCACCACCTGCAGTGATTTTGGAGCCCCCCAAAATAAAATCTTTCACTGTTTCCATTGTTTCCCCATCTATTCCCCAGCATGAAGTGATGGGACTGGATGCTGTGATCTGAGTTTTCTGAATGTTGAGTACTAAGTCAACTTTTTCACTCTCCACTTCCACCTTCATCAAGAGGCTATTTAGTTCTTCTTCACTTTCTGCCATAAGGGTGGTGTCATTTGTGTATCTGAGGTTATTGATATTTCTCCCAGCAATCTTGATTCCACCTTGTGCTTCATCCAGTCTGGCATTTTGCTGATGTTCTCTTCATATAAGTTAAATAAGCAGGGTGACAATATACAGCCTTGATGTACTCCTTTCCCAATTTGGAAACAGTCTGTTGTTCCATGTCCAGTTCTAACTGTTGCTTCTTGACCTGCATTCATATTTCTCAGGAGGCAAGTCAGGTGGTCTGGTATTCCCATCTCTTTCAGAAGTTTCCACAGTTTGTTGTGATCCAGAGTCAAAGGCTTTGGTATAGTCAATAAAGCAAAAGTAGATTTTTTTTTCTGGAACTCGCTTGCTTTTGCAATGATCCAATGGATGTTGGCAATTTGATCTCTGGTTCCTCTGCCTTTTCTAAATCCAGATTAAACATCTGGAAGCTCATGGTTCATGTACTGTTGAATCCTGGCTTGGAGAATTTTGAGCATTACTTTCCTAGCGTTTGAGATGAGTGCAATTGTTTGAGCATTCTTTAGGATTGTCTTTCTTGGGATTGGAATGAAAACTGACCTTCCAGTCCTGTGGTCACTGCTGAGTTTTCCAGATTTGCTGGCATATTGAGTGCAGCACTTTCACAGGATCATCTTATAAGATTTGAAATAGCTCAGCTGGAATTCCATCACCTCCACTAGCTTTGTTAATAGTGATGCTTCCTAAGGCCCACTTGACTTTGCATTCCAGAATGTCTGACTCTAGGTGAGTGATCACACCAACATGGTTACCTGGGTCATGAAGACCTTTTTTGTACAGTTCTTCTGTGTATTCTTGCCACCTCTTCTTAGTATCTTCTGCTTCTGTTAGGCCCATACCATTTCTGTCCTCTATTGTGCCCATCTTTGCATGAAAAGTTCCCTTGGTATCTCTAATTTTCTTGAAGAGATCTCTAATCATTCCCATTGTATTGTTTTCATCTATTTCTTTGCATTGATCGCTGAGGAAGGCTTTCTTATCTCTCCTTGCTATTCTTTGGAACTCTGCATTCAAATGGTTATATCTTTCCATTTCTCCTTTACCTTTAGTGCTAGAAAGTAATGCTCAAATTTCTGCAAGCCAGGCTTCACCAGTATGTGAACTGTGAACTTCCAGATGTTCAAAGTGGATTTAGAAAAGACAGAGGAACCAGAGATCAAATTGCCAACATCCGCTGGATCATCAAAAAGCAAGAGACTTCCAGAAAAACATCTACTTCTGCTTTCTTTACTAAAACAAAACCTTTGACTGTGTGGATCACAACAAACGGTGGAAACTTCTGAAAGAGATGGGAATACTAGACCACCTGACCTGCCTCTAGAGAAACTTGTATGCAGGTCAAGAAGCAATAGTTAGAACTGGACATGGAACAACAGACTGCCTCCAAATGGGGAAAGGAGTATGACAAGGCTGTATATTGTCACTCTGCTTATTTAACTTACATGCAGAGTTGATCATGTGAAATGCCGGGCTGGATGAAGCACAAGCTGGAATCAAGATTGCCAGGAGAAATATCAATAACCTCAGATATGCAGATGACACCACCCTTATGGCAGAAAGCAAAGAAGAACTAAAGAGCCTCCTGATGAAAGTGAAAGAAGAGAGCGAAAAAGTTGACTTAAAACTCAACATTCAGAAAACTAAGATCATGGCATCTGGTCCCATCACTTCATGGCAAATAGATGGGGAAACAATGGACACAGTGAAAGATTTTATTTTGGGGAGAGGCCTCCAAAATCACTGCAGATGGTGATTGCAGGCATGAAATTAAAAGACACCTGCTCCTTGGAAGGAAAGCTATGACCAACCTAGATAGCATATTAAAAAGCAGAGACATTACTTAGCCAACAGAGGTGCATCTAGTCAAAGCTCTGGTTTTTCTAGTAGCCATGTATGGATGTGAGAGTTAAGCTATAAAGAAAGCTGATCACCAAAGAATTGATGCTTTTGAAATGTGGTGTTGGAGAAGACTCTTGAGGGTCCCTTGGACTGCAAGGAGATCCAACCTGTCAATCCTACAAGAAATGAGTCCTGAATATTCATTGGAAGGAATGATGCTGAAGCTGAAACTCCAGTATTTTGGCCACCTGATGTGGAGAACCAACTCATTGGAAAAGACTCTGATGCTGAGAAAGATTGAAGGCTGGAGGAGAAGGGGATGACAGAGAATGAGAATGAGATGGTTGGATGGCATCCCTGGGTCAATGGACATGAGTTTGAATAAGCTCCGGAGTTGGTGATGGGCAGCAAAGCCTGGCATGCTGCAGACCATGGGATCACAGAGAACTGGACATGACTGAGTGACTGTACTGAACTGATTTTACTGGAGACAAAAAAAACAAAAAGGAAATAAAATGTGTAAGAAAATATTTAATTTTTACTATTAAAATAATTTTCAGTCATTTTAGGGAAATACAGAAATCCCTGAAGATGTAACTATTGGGAGAAAAAAAGCCAAAGTGGTAGAATTATTTTTTAAAAATTTATGGTTATTCACAGCTAAAATATGTATATACATATGTTTATAAAACCTATAGTTTTTTAATAAAAATCAGTAGGCTTTCACATATGACTGCAAGCAATTACACTCATTTAATTTCAGTACTGTAAGCAAGGCTCAAAGTTAAATGCCAACATTTGGGGCTTAAAATTAAATGAGCCCCATCATATTGTTTGTCACATTATGTTGCATTCCTTTTACTATTTATTTACAGACTTAAAGGATTATAAATAAAATCCAATAGAAATTGGTTCATAATATAAAATATTCTATTTAAGTTATGCCCTTGGTGAGGATAAAAGGAGGGTTAGACTTCTTTAGCTTTTCAACTTTGACATAATTTCCATGCTGGTAGTTCTTTACATCTTCTAGAGTACTTCTGTTTCATTATGATGTTATTTGCTTACAGCTTAGAATAATCTAAGCTGATTGTCCGTTAACCATGACCAGGAGTCATATAATTGCCCATAAGCTGCGTGTCCTCCATCCAGTTGGGAACCATACATTGTATACTGTCTGCACTAAGAAGCTAGGTTAGTTTTTGTTTGTTTTTATCATTGATGCCTCTCCCTGATGGCCTCCAGCACAAAACCGTTTGGCAAGAGTGATGTCCATCTGAGTTCAATCAAGATCCTTGTGACTTGGGTTATTACAGAAATATTCCCCACTCCAGGTCACTTCCAATCCCCACTGAGAAAAAATATGGAAAATCAGAGGTACAAGAGAAAGTTTCCCTGATACAACCTGCCCAATATCACTGCCAAGAGGCAATGATAAAATGTCCCTTATAATAAAAGTCATAATCTTTTTAAGGAAGCAATCAATACTTAAACTATTTGTGCATTTACTAAGAAATTAGTAAAATGCACATGTTACCCATTGAGTATCATAACTTAATAATTCAGTACAAAAGTTCAATATAATTATCGAAGTTTATTTAAATGATGATTGTATCAAGTTCTATAGTTTCTTGTTCCTTTGCATCTTTAGTGAATTCTAGTGTTCAGCTCTTTAGAGTAAGATGCATGTATCATCTGGTGAGTCATTCCTCAGAAGATTCTGGAGCTCATTGTGAAGTTGTCTGTTCTCAGCTTGGAATCTCTCCTTGAGCCTTTTCACCTCTTCCTAAAGAGTGATACATAAAACAAAAGAGCTGAGCAAAAAGTGGTGTCCAAATCATTGTTTAGGGAAAGTCCCAGTCACTGACTTTCTCTTACTTATTTTAAACAATCAGTAATAGAAGACGGTCCCTAATTCCACCTTTCCATTCATATTCATTTTACCTCTTACTCTTGGTTTCCCTACTTGTGTAATTCTTATTCCCAGTCTGTTCCTATAGCTGCAGAAACATCATCTCTCAATCCCTGAAATATTGGTATCCCAAGAATTATATCCTAAGGCCCCTTCTCCCTTTGTCCTTAAGCAATCTGAATCACATCTTGACTTCAGTTCTCATGTACACACAAAGGAACATCAGATCTAGTATCACAAGGAGAGGTTGAAATTAGTAAAATGCCCATTTTATCCATTATGAAGATCAATATCACAACTTTATAACTCATTACAGAAGTTCAACTGGGTGGTCTAGGTGATATCCTCAATCAGGTGTTGGGTCTGAGCCTTAGATAAGGGAATTTGTTCTGGGTCTCCACAGTAACGGGGTTAAAATAGAAGGAAAGGATGAGATCAGAAACCCTAGATTGAAAATACTGCCCTTCGGTGCGGGTCTATAATCTCAAAATTGTCTTGAAACAGTCCCTGGAAAACAAGGACCTACAGGTAGACCAGCCATGATGGGGAGGATGCCCTTTGTCTCACAGAAGAATGTAAGACTAGGTTTGCAGATATGAAAGCATTGCAGATCCCACACGCTGAGCATTGCAGATCCCACACACTGAGAAGACTGTTTTGATAACTTGCTAGGCTGTGTGATAGTGGCATTAATTATCTCTCTGGAACTTAATTTTTCTAATCAGAAAAATGGGGGCATAATGGTCCTGATTCACTGAATAGACTAGGCTAAAGAATGTGTGTATGGTGCTTTGTACAGTGCTTGGTAGATAGAAACCACTGCCAACTGAGTGATAATAATAGCAGAGGACTGGATGAAACAAACTCTACAAGTTAAAGGTCTTCAGAACCAGCAACAATTAAGGTAAAGACAGGGGCATGGATATAGTAATATGAGATTAATTCAACAAGGTAATCTGTGACCAAAGGAAAAGACTAGCTAGAAAAATGAACAAAATAACAAAAAGACTAATTACTGTGGGTTAGAAATGTCCTTGGATTTTGCTTAACAAATTATAATGCTTATGCTGTGCCAAGCACCATTCTACACTCAAATATTGACTTATTTAAGCTTCAAAATAGCCCTATAAAATAAGCAATATTAATATAACTATCTCCAAACAATGTATTTAGTAAGAGGTAGAGCTGGGTTTCCCACACACACTATTTGATTCCAGAGTCTTTGCCCTAGGCCACAATATTATGCTGCCTCTTCCATGTTGTTGGTGCTTCCTGTTCTCATTGACACAGAGAAGGGAGTGTGACTAAAATCCCGAGAAGAAATAACTGATGAGTACCTGGAGCTGACGTTCCATGGCCCTCTGTTGCAGGGCCTCCTGGTATACTCTGTTTGTCTCCATTAGTCTCACTTGTTCCTGACGGACTGTCTTCCTCTGCTCCATCATTTGCTGATGCTGTGTTAGACTTTCCATCAACCTTTGTGCTTCAGGCTTCATAAACTCTTCTTTTAAACCTACCTCAGAGAGGAAGAAAATGACAAACCTCTCTAGGATTAAAGTACCCTTCCTTCGCCCCCCTCCCTTATTTGTTATTGCCGCTACTTCATAGATAAAATTTCCTGGTCATTTTTTCTGCCTGCAAGTAATCATATGGTAGCTGAGGGTATATGCCCTATTCAGGTACAGACTGAGGAGCTAAGAATGGTACATCTTTGCCATTCTAGCTTTAGTTTAATGATCCCAGGTTTAACCAGGTCAAATTAACTTAAAATGTGTAGAATTTCTGTGTTGCATTTTTTTCCCATTTTTTTCCTCACCTTTGATATCCTTTTCAATTGCTGTGAGAGCAAGGTCTGTCTGCAAAATGATAACACTCACAGACTCCTTGGACTCTAAATATTTCTGAAGAGCTTCCTCAGCCTAAGAACCCAAAAACATATAATTAGAAGTAAAAAATGATTAGAAATGTTGTAAACCTCTTTATTTCCTTTTCTTCCCAGCATCTTTTCCTCCCTAGAAGTGCTCAGCCTGTACTTAGTGAAACTGTCAGTCAAGCTTCTTCTGTCGAGGAGTGGACACAAGCTCCAGGCTGGCCTATTGGAGTACCCAAAGCCACTTGATGCAGAAGATTTAGGTATAGGTGGGAAAATACTGCAACTTGAGTGTTTTAAAGACTGATATGGATGCCGGAAAAGATATCTTCTCTCCCATGAGACTGAGGTCATGAAGGACTAGTTAAGCTGGGAGCTGTCGGTGTCATCTTTGCTGCCCTGTGGGGTGAGGCTGCCTGAGAATGAAGTCAATGGTGAGGAAAACAGAAAAAGCTGGATTTTGGATAGGAAAGAAAGAAGGAAAGGGGAACATTGATTATGTTGTTACATGTAATCAACTGATTAAACTCTTGGACATATTTATATTAATACTTACAACTAAATTTAAACATTTTGCCTTTAGTTTATGTGCATCAATGAATTATTTTCTTAGGTTAGTTCATTTACTGGGATTCTGTCCTGTGTATCCAAAAACGTTCTTTTGTTGCAATGAATGTTGATGATTGTAATAAAAGTCTGGTGATTATGGCAAAAGTCTAGTTTAATTCCACCACTATTATTCTTCCTGTCTGTCATCATTGATTTTTCAAAGAAGACCCCCTACAGTTCCCCCATAATTAATACATAAAATCAAGGATACCTGTATTCCTTTCCTGGGCTCCTGATTGTACTTTTCCTTCAGCTCTTCTCTCTTCTGAATGTAGAGACAATGCCCCCCAGGTTTTGCATAAACCCCTTGCTTCACATTTTCTTCTAGAGGATGAAAAATATCCTGAAGTAAAGCTGAGCAACGATTCAGTGATGCCTCCAAGTTTCGTTTATGAAAGTCATTCTGTTTAGCTGCTAGCTGCATCTTTAAGGGGACAAAGACCCACGGAAAAGGTATTACCAACACTTCAGTATTTTTAGAAATGATTCACAAAGAGAATCTCTGTATTTGGGTGGGGGAGGGGGGATTCAAAGACTACAAGCAATACTATATTCTTCCTACCAAACCTATTGTAAAAAAGTTCCATGGATAATACACTGTAGAAAAGTGACTTTACTTTTATACTTGAAGTCTCTGGACACCCCTTTCTTTTGCCTCTTCTACTTTAGATAGAATCTGCAGACTGCAGATCTCTAGCCTCAAGCCCTAATTTTAAATTCAACCTACTGTTACAACAGACTGCTTCCAAATAGGAAAAGGAGTACATCAAGGCTGTATATTGTCACCCTGCTTATTTAACTTATATGCAGAGTACATCATGAGAAATGCTGGGTTGGAAGAAGCACAAGCTGGAATCAAGATTGCCAAGAGAAATATCAATAACCTCAGATATGCAGATGACACCACCCTTATGGCAGAAAGTGAAGAGGAACTAAAAAGCCTCTTGATGAAAGTGAAAGAGGAGAGTGAAAAAGTTGGCTTAAAGCCCAACATTCAGAAAACTAAGATCATGGCATCTGGTCCCACCACCTCATGGGAAATAGATGGGGAGACAGTGGAAACAGTGTCAGATTTTATTTTGGGGGGCTCCAAAATCACTGCAGATGGTGATTGCAGCCATGAAATTAAAAGATGCTTACTCCTTGGAAGGAAAGTTATGACCAACCTAGATAGCATATTTAAAAGCAGAGACATTACTTTGCCAAGAAAGGTCCATCTAGTCAAGGCCATGGTTTTTCCAGTGGTCATGTATGGATGTGAGAGTTGGACTGTGAAGAAAGCTGAGCACCGAAGAATTGATGCTTTTGAACTATGGTGTTGGAGAAGACTCTTGAGAGTCCCTTGGACTGCAAGAAGATCCAACCAGTCCATCCTAAAGGAGATCAGTCCTGGGTGTTCATTGGAAGGACTGATGCTGAAGCTGAAACTCCAATACTTTGGCCACCTCATGCAAAGAGTTGGCTCATTGGAAAAGACCCTGATTCTGGGAAGGATTGGGGGCAGGAGAAGAAGGAGATGACAGAGGATGAGATGGCTGGATGACATCACCGGCTTGATGGACATGAGTTTGAGTAAACTCCGGGAGTTGGTGATGGACAGGGAGGCCTGGCGTGCTGCAATTCATGGGGTCACAAAGAGTTGGACATGAATGAGTGACTGAACCGAACTGAACGGATGTTACTACTGTTTCAATATTATATTGGGTCTGGGATTTCCAGACCCTGGGATTTCCAGGAGGTAGAATGGATAATTGGCCTGAATAATGAGCGTATGCTATTAAACCTGAGGAGATAATCTTTTAGTAGAGCCTTTGGCAATTCTATATGCTTGATTAATAAAAAAGGAAAGTTAATACTTTATGAATACAAATTTTTAAGGGATAATATTGCTTTTAAAAAACTAGTCTACAGACATAACATAATAAGAGGAGTTATCGGTGTGTGAAACTTTCAGAATCTATAGGGTCTCGGGGCTTCCCTGGTGGCTCAGTAGTAAAGAATCTACTTGCAATGTAGGAGATGCACATTCGATCCTTGTGTTGGGAAGAGATCCCCTGGAGAAGGAAATGGCAACCCACTCCAATACTGTTGTCTGGGAAATCCAATGGACAGAGGAGCCAGGAGGGCTACAGTCCATGGGGTTGCAAAGAGTCGGACATGACTTAAGACTAAATAATGACAACAGCAATAGGGTCCAGGGTAGTTATAAGCTTTTTGTTGTTATTTGTCTTCAGAATAATAGTGAAATCTTGGTCACATAAGTGATAGTCATTATCTCTCAGTCTAGTAAGAATTGTTTTTCTTAAGTCCACATTTTGTATTTCATAGCAACATTTTGCCTTTTATTATGCCTAAGTCCCATGACTATAGCAAAAAACTTGATTACCTCTAATTTTTTCCGGTACCCTTGGTCCTCATCCTTGAAAGAGTTCCTCATGAAGACTTCAATGGCCTCTTTCTCACTGGCCCTGTGCAGGTCCAGCAACTCCTGGAGGGTTTCTGTGGGCAGTTTCAGCTTCTGGCCCATCTGCTGGTCATAATGGGCAATGGCCTTTTGCACTGCAGCCAAGTTCTTAATCTGGGCCAAGGTCAGGACTTCACTTTCCATGCAGGGCAGATCCCCACTGTTGATGGCATTGACATAGGTCTGCACTAGGTTCCATAGATCTTCACAGAGGGGAAAGATGCTTGAATTATTTGCAGAGAAAAAGGACATGCTCTGAACTAATTAACATTCTGAGAATGTTAATTTAGCATATTCAGCCTTCTGCACAGTGTTTAAATGGCCCAAGTAAGTTCCTTTTGGAAATTATCTGATCAAGAAGACAGATATTTCATTCTCTGAGAAAGGAAAGTGTTCAAAGGAGAAAACTGAAGATTTGTGTGATGATCCACATTTCATCCCTTTCTAATTGAGCAATGAGAATATGGTTATACAAATTTGTGTGTATTCATTTATTTAGAATACTATAGACCTTTTGCCTGTTTACTCTTCCCTTTCTCTCTTCCTCAGGTTTCTATTCCCTTTAGAATTCCCTTTTCTCCTCCACTTCAACATGTAAAGCTGGTGTGAGTATTACCCTCACCCAAAAAAGCACAGAGTAGGCAAATTAAGCCAGGTCACCTTACTCTTTGTTGGAACTTTCCTGCTTGTCTTCCTATGCCTTTGGCTACTTGCATTTGCCCTCATCTTCCCTTTAGATTGTAGCAATAATTTACAATATGGACTTCCCTAGTAGCTCAGACTGTAAAGCATCTGCCTACAATGCAGGAGACCCGGGTTTGATCCCTGGGTTGGGAAGATGCCCTGGAAAAGGAAATGGCAACCCACTCCAGTATCCTTGCCTGGTAAATTCCATGGACAGGGGAGCCTGGTGGGCTATAGTCCTTGGGGTCACAAAGAGCGGACATGACTGAGTGACTAACACACAATAATTTACAAATTTCCAAGACATAGAATATTTAGGAACAATTGGATTGAGAAGTCTGCTTAGATTTCTTGAAGGGTTTTAGACAATCTGGGCATCTGTTTGTTTAATATTTATGTTAAGTATGTTCCATTTCTACAATGAATGTCTTCCCATTTTCTGCCTATCTAAGGCTGTGGCACTTAACAAGTACCCACTGTATTGGTGGAACAAATGCTGCCAATCCATGCGGGTTAGTCTAGTTCAACAGTGGATCATTTATAGGCAGAACTTTTTTAACTTGACCTTTTCTTCAGGTTATTCTTCCTATTTTATCTTATTTTGCAAGCATTACTAAAAACATCTAGAAATATTTTTTGAAATATTTAATAAATATGATACCTATGATTTTCTTGGTAGTATCTGACGATGCATTTTTAGCATTGGCAGTGGAAGGAGAAATTACAACAGTGCTCTCATTCTCTATTTTGAATTGAGGGAAAACCCTTGAAAAAGTACTCACGAGATCCACTGGCCTGGATACCTCCTGAAAGAGTTTTAGTCTTGGAATAGCTAAAGATGTAGGAACAGAATTCTGCCACTTGTTGTACAAACTTAGGATCCAGATCATCATTATGCAGTGTCTCAAGCTGGGCAAGCTTCTTCTGGTGAGTGGGCAAGTCAAAAATGAAGCATTTCTTTACTGGAAAGAATTTCTGTATACACAGACAGGGCAGATTAAAATTCTGAAAATGTTGGTTGGTGCCTGAGGAGGGAAAAAATAGGATTTATTTAGTATCGAATTACGTTCATTTTAATCTATTCCCCACAAATAAATGTGTCCTCTACCTGATGTTGGGCTTCCCTTCTTCAGCTGGTAAAGAATCTGACTGCAATGTGGGAGGCCTGGGTTCAATCCAGGTTACAAAGATCCCCTGAAGAAGGGAAAGGCTACCCACTCCAGTATTCTTGCTGGAGAATCCCATTGACTGTATAGTCCATGGGGTCACAAAGAGTCAGACTCGACTGAACGACTTTCACTTTCACTCCCTGATGTTATTTGTGTCACTACATTTTCATAAACCCTAAGCAAAAGCTTAAAAGGTGATCAGCCAGGAAAAGGAAAATGGAAAAGTTATTTGCTCCAAGAACAGGGAATAATATAATTTAATATCAACTCTATTAGTTCATTTAAGTTAATAGTATTAATTATTTATATGGTCACTTAGTCAGCGGAGTAAATATAGGAAACTCTAAGTTTAACCAGCAACATACAAGAGATAATTTCTTGTGCTACTTTTCTCCCTCTTTCCAAAATTGGAGTCAGTTACCTTGCTTTGGCCTCAGTGAATTCTCCAGGTATTCATCTGCTGTGATGCGTTGCCCATTTGCTTCCAGGTCAAGGTAGAAATCTCTCAAAGTCCACACTAAGTCTGGACAGACTCTCACAAAGTCAGCTGCATCATCTACCCCGTTAAGAGCAGGTGAGGTATCTGTTCTGAGCAGTTGTGACAGTTCTGTCACATAGCTGAGATACAATTAAGGAAAACTGCATCTGAGCCATATTTAATTCCATGCCTTCATATGCTTTTATAGTCTCTTTGGGTTGTAACCAAGTCCTCATTGCATTCAGTAAACATAAGGACTTCGTCTTGTTCTTTCAATGTTCACAGTGTTTTCATTTTTGTGTTTGATACACAAGGACTCATGAGCTGGTGAATGGTGGAATTCTTTCTGGCTTTGGTGCCATCCTGGACCACAAAAGGATACTGCAAGAGGTTGATAGCCCCATGGTCAATTTTGTTCATGGTATTGTATACAAAAGTACTACTCAATAGTAGTGCCAGTACAAATATATGGGTGTCATTTGTCTTGCCGCCCTAGAAGTCAGAATAAATTTCAGTCATGTCTCATGGCGCTCCCATATGAGCAGTTACGAAAAACAGGCCCTTGATCTACAAATGTGAAACAGGACAAACTAAAATGGTTGTGAGAAACATGGGAACTTTAGTTCTGTCATTAGCATTGATAATTTTATATAAAACCATAGTTTGTTAATTTATTAGTCCCTCTTATAACTGGTTAGGTATTTGCAAAATCGATAGTCAAATTTACTGAAGGTAATCAGAGGAGTTAAAAATCAAGATTTTTGACTGTGTAGAACAAAGTTGGTCTGTATGTATAATACATGCATCTATTTTATTGAATAACTATTATACACAGGGAACTTCACATTACTGATCTTATCTAATACTCAATGCTGTGAGAATAAGGTTTTAACTACTGTCTCTATGTTACAGGTAAGCAAACTAAAGCAAAAATGGGTTTATCATTTTGTGGTAAATCAAAAGCAAAATAAAGACATAAAAAACAAGAGAAATACAAGGGAAAGATCCCGTTTTGTGCTCAAGCCATCTCATACCAGCTTACAATAGCAGGTTGTGTATATCTTTTCTGAGCCTTGAGTTTAGTGACTTCACTTTGGTAGCTTGGAGTCAGCTGTGATGGGAGCACTTAGGAAACTTGAAAGTACTACAAATCAAGGCTCTTTTTCTTGCCAGATAGAAGTGGAAAAATAACATGCATCTCCTGTGCAACTGATAAAATGGATCAGACCAAAGGGGAAATAGGAGATTTGAGGAGACTTATTCTTGTTTGTCAGTTTTAAGAGCTGCAAGTACCAGGATCCTGATTTGGACTCAAGTTCTGCTGCCCTGAAGCCCACTGCTAACCTCTGTCCTCTGCAGTGACAGATTTATGACGGTGACTTTATTTGCACTGTCTCTCTTCAATTTGGTTAACTGTCTAGCTCCACATTAGCACAGTCTCCCAATTGTGATTCTGGCTTTCACACCTATTTTTCTCACTTCAGGTTTCTAAAATTTGACTATTAAAAACAGAAAGGGGAAAAAAGTATACCGTGGTCAAGTAGAAGTAAAAAACAAACTCCCCATGTAAAGAGTGTTCAGGGATGAGGAGGCTGATTAAAAAGAAATTCTTGTTAATTACCTTCTCTACGTCTCCGAGTCCTTCAGTGTCAAGAAGAACCAGGGTGTGGTTTGGTTTCTTGGGGTGAGGCACACACCACATCCAGATGCCCTTCGTGCTACACTGCACTGTAGATCCAACTGAGAATCCTACAGGGGGAGTTGAAACGCTGTAATAGAGGAGTGGATCTGGAAACTGGAAACTGTCTTAATAAGTGAGCTGCCATTTAAGGAAAGCAAGGCAAGGCTATGGCAGAAAATATAACTCTGTATTGATCTGAATTACAATAGAGGAATGCGATAATAAGAATGCCAAGTACCATAGGGCTGGAAATTTGACATTTCTTTTTTTGCAAGAATATTATACTATCAAAATTTAGTTACTTATAATTACATATGTAGAAGTTATTTCATTGATGTCTTCTTATAATTGGAAAGTACTGTAATTTTTTAAGTAGATACTGAGGGGGGAAAAAATGAGGTGATATATCAGAAGCAGAATTCTACCTTTCATCTCCCAGAAGATCATTAACTAGATTTGAGCCAGGCATTAGCTTTCAATATTCCTCCCAGGTCTCTCACTTCCTCTCCTCACATTGCTGTGCTGCATGCTGGGAGTGTGGGTGGACAGAAGGGACTTGGCTGGGCTCTGCCCGTGTCACTCACCCTTTTTCTTCCCAGCCAGCTTGTTCATCAGGTAGGACTTTCCTGTGCGGTAGGGGCCCACGATAGCCACCACCACAATGGGCTGTCTGATGGCAGACAGGATCTTCAGAGCTTCTGGATTAACCAGCAGTGGCCCATTAGTGTTCTCGATGAGGCACAAGGGTTCGAGCATGTGATTCAATGGGGCCATGTCCATAGTGTCACCTGATGTTCAAGGACAGACATGGGATAGACTGAAGTTTCTATTCTTAAAGCAGAGAAAAGTCATTTTGCTTCCTCAACCTGTGGACATACTTCTCCCCAGATGGTCTAAGTTTCTGAAGAAGTGAATAATAATATATAAAAGATAGTAAAAAGGGTCATAGTAACATAAGTCCAAGCCCTTCAACACAAGAGAAGTCCTAGACCCAACAACACAAGAGAAGACTCTAGACATGGACATCATCAGATGGTCAATACAGAAATCAGATTCATTATATTCTTTGAAGCCAAAGACGGAGAAACTCTATAGAGTCAGCAAAAAAAAGAAAAAGACTAGGAGCTGACTGTTGCTCAGATCATGAATTCCTTACTGCAAAATTCAGACTTAAATTAAAGAAAGTAGGGAAACCACTAGACGATTCAGGTATGACCTAAATCAAATCCCTTATGATTATATGGTGGAAGTGACAAACAGATTCAAGGGATTAGATTTAATAGAGTGCTGGAAGAACTATGGATGGAGTTTCATGACATTGTACAGGAGGCAGTGTTCAAGACCATCCCCAAGTAAAAGAAATACAAAAAGGCAAAATGGTTGTCTGAGGCGGCCTTACAAATACCTGTGAAAAGAAGAGAAGCAAAATGCAAAGGAGAAAAGAAAAGATATACCCATTTGAATGCAGAGTTCCAAAGAATAGCCAGAAGAGACAAGAAAGCCTTCCTCAGTGATCAGTGCAAAGAAATAGAGGAAAACAATAGAATGGAAAAGACAAGAGATTTCTTCAAGAGAATTACAGGTACCAAGGAAACATTTCATGCAAAAATAGGCACAATAAAGGACTGAAATGATATGGACCTAACAGAAACAGAAGATACTAAGAAGAGGTGGCAAGAATACACAGAACAATACAAAAAAGATCTTCATGACCCAGATAATCACGATGGTGTGATCACTCACCTAGAGCCAGACATCCTGGAATGCAAAGTCAAGTGGTCCTTAGGAAGCATCAACATGAATAAGTGAGTGGAGGTGATGGAATTCCAGCTGAGCTATTTCAAACCCTAAAAGATGATGCTGTTAAGGTGCTGCACTCAATATGCCAGCAAATTTGGAAAACTCAGCAGTGTCCACAGGACTGGAAAAGGTCAGTTTTCATTCCAGTCCCCAAAAAAGGCAATGCCAAGGAACGTCAAACTACCACACAATTGCACTCATCTCACATGCTAGCAAAGTAATGCTCAAAATTCTCCAAGCCAGGCTTCAACAGTATGTGAACCATGAACTTCCAGATGTTCAAGCTCATTTTAAAAAAGAGGAATCAGAGATCAAATTGCCAACATCCGCTGGATCATCGAAAAAGAAAGAGTTCCAGAAAAACATCTACTTCTGCTTTATTGACTATGCCAAAGCCTTTGACTGTGTGGGTCACAACAAACTGTGGAAAATTCTTAAAGAGATGGGAATACCAGACCACTTGACCCGCCTCCTGAGAAATCTGTATGCAGTTCAAGAAGCAGCAGTTAAAACTGGACATGGAATAACAGACTAGTTCCAAATGGGGAAAGGAGTATGTCAAGGCTATAAATTGTTACCCTGCTTATTTAACTTATATGAAGAGTACATCATGTGAAATGCCTGGCTGGCTGAAGCACAAGCTGGAATCAAGATTGCTGGGAGACATATCAATAACCTCAGATATGCAGATGACACCACCCTTATGGCAGAAAACAAAGAAGAACTAAAGAGCCTCTTCTTGAAAGTGAAAGGGGACAGTGAAAAAGTTGGCTTAAAACTCAACATACAGAAAGCTAAGTTCATGGCATCCAGTCCCATCACTTTCTGGCAAATAGGTGGGGAGACAATGGAAACAGTGAGAGACTTTATTTTTTGGAGGGGCTCCAAAACCACTGCAGATGGTGACTGCAGCTATGAAATTAAAAGACGCTTGCTCTTTGGAAGAAAGAAAAACTATGACAAACCTAGAGAGCATATTAAAAAGCAAAGACATTACTTTGCTGAAAAATATCTGTCTAGTCAAAGCTATGGTTTTTCCAGTATTCAGGTGTGGATGTGAGAGTTGGACTATAAAGAAAGCTGAGCAGTGAAGAATAAATGCTTTTGAAGTGTGGTGTTGGAGAAGACTCTTGAGAGTCCCTTGGACTGCAAGGAGATCAAACCAGTCAATGCTAAAGGAAATGAGTCCTGAATGTTCATTGGAAGGACTGATGCTGAAGCTGTAACTCCAATACTTTGGACACCTGATGGGAAGCTGTAACTCCAATACTTTGGACACCAGATGGGAAGACTCATTGGAAAAGACCCTGATGCTGGGAATGATTGAAGGCAGGAGGTGAAGGGGATGACTAAGGATGAGATGGTTGGATAGCATCACCAACTCAATGGATGTGAGTTTGAGCAAGCTCCTGGAGTTGGTGATGGACAGGGAAGCCTGACGTTTTGCAGTCCATGGGGTTGCAAAGAGTCCTACATGATTGAGCTACTGAACTGAACTGAGGCCCTTCAGAGTTCTACTAGAGAGTGCCCCACTGGTTCTTAAGTATTTGGTGAATGTAAAAAAATGCATTTTCTGAATCTAAACTACTGCTAGTTTGAGTCTCACTTTTCTCCATTGGCTTTTGTCTTGGTTATGTTTCTTAGTTTGTATCTCCCTGAATCCCCAGATTGAATATTTATGACCACTATTTGTCCTATTACACTTTTTTCCTTTACCCAATATCAACCTGCTTTTCTCTCATTTAGGACTATGTCCAGCCAAAGTGCATTAAACTAAATCCTGCCAGGTCCTTATGTACCATTGTCTAGCAAATAGTAATTGTTTACTTCTTAAAACTTTACTTTTAAAGAATTTTTATATAACTATTAATATGTGTTATTCAATCAGAAAAAATATATATATATATATATATGTTTGATTCATTTTTAGCAATTGAGAACTCTTGTGGCAGCATTTTCTTTTTTGTTTAGTATGTCTGAACTTAATAGCTCTTCAGAATGGTCCATTGAAAATCATCAATTGGTATTCCTGACACCCCAGCTGGTTCCCCAAACTGCCTTCACTGTAACAGCTATTTTCTAATTTCTTAATGTTAATTCTTGTAACCTAAAGAATCCCTGATAAAACAGTTTTAAAGCTATCTGAAATGTATACAAATGCTTGCTTTTCTGCCTTGCCATATTATAAAGAATGATTATCTTCCATTTTAGAAGTGATTATTTACAACAGAAGCTAAAATCTCACCATCTGCTTGCCTTTTTTTGAAGGGATATCCTACAATAAAAAGGTCTGGATTCCCTTGTTATCTAAAGTGAAAATTCCTTTTTTAAAAAGTGTGAAGACCCATTTCCCCCTTTCCTTAATTGCCAATGCCCCAGAGATTATCCAGGTGACAGATAAATAGAAACTGCTTGGGAGCAGATAAGAGATCCACTGCAAATAACATAGCCCCAGGACATGGGAGCTAGAAATGCCCAGTCCAAGCCAGATCCAAAAAGAGAGGATTCCACATAATTTTACATTCCCAAAGGCCAAATCTCTTTTTACTTTAACCCATTTCCAAAGCAATATTGGCATCTTATGTTTGTTGAGTCCTATTGTGTGATTTGTTTATAGCAGGAATCACAATCATTTTTAGATTAGAAAGAGATGGAGACCTGGCAGTTATGACTTAAAACAATTAGCTAGAAAAACAGAAGATAAGCAATCAAAATTTATTTGTAGATATTGAGAGATTACCAGATCTTTTGCTGTGAGATGATGTCACTAACGAGAAAGGAAATGAAATTGACTGAATTTTCAGGCCACTTAATAAATAACATTAGGGCTGTGTATTTATACTAGTGGAAGTATTTTATATATTGTCACCAGATGTTATCTGGGTAGCATCTTTAATGTTAATCAAATAACCCAGCCTCCAAAACATCTTTGCTGATTCACTGTGTTTGAGCCCCATGCCTAACTGTTGCTCTGCTATCGTAACTCAGTTTATGATGTGTGGTTTTGTTATTGTTGTTTGCCTTCACTTTGCTTTGTGTTGTTTTTGGTTTGAATTTGTAGAGGAAAAACTCTTATAAAGGAGAAAATGGAAATCAAACAAGAAGGAGATGTGCAAAGTATGTGCCATGATAATGAAGGAGGAAACAGACAGAATAGACTCTATCTTGAAAGCAGGACTCCTCTTGGGCCAGACTGTGGACTTTGAGCCATATGCCCAGTATGTATGGAAACGACATACCAACTGGAAAACCAGGCCCCCCAGGGCTTGTACCTAGACTCTCCATGCTGCCTAAAAGAATACCCTGATTATCGGTGTAACCGAGTAGAAGCATACATTCTATTATGCTTATTGGGGTATGACCACAGGCCTATTGATAATTGTCCACTGTTAACTACCTAGCTTAAGGCATACGAATCATGGGTTAACTTTGATTGTATCTTTCTTTTTCCTTAGTTCAGACTAGTTTCCGGAAATTTGGGGAGGCAAGTTTGTGCACTTAGTGTATATAAGGTTTTCACAAAAGCTGGAAGGGGTCCTTGACTAAGAGGAGACTCTGCCTTGTCTGCATTGTCCTTCTGAGTGAGTTTGTTTCCCGGAATGAGTGGCTACAGCAACAATACATTCAAAGGAGGAGAGAGTGCCAAGGAGTGAAGAAAATTGCCAGACAGTTTAAAGTGCTCAAGGAGGCAACTGTTATATTAAGTGATTCTTAATAGTAACATCAATAGAGTAGCAGAAACAATACAAAATACAAAAGGCCTTAAGGAATGAAAAGGTGTCAAGAAATCAAAGCTAATTAATTTAGGATTCTTTCTGAACAAAGAAATCCATCTTCAAACAAAGTACAAGACTAGGAATAAAATGTATAGCCATTTTCGTGAAGCCTTATTTCATTGTACTTTCTGGGATTCAACTGTTTTCCTTTTTTCTCTTTTGTTTTTATTTTTTTTATTTTTTTTTCTCTTTTGTTTTTAATGTAAGCAAGCCATTTACATTACATCTCATTCAATGCCGTTTCTCATGAAAATAATTCATAGTTCTTGAAAAATTCAGGCTGCAACTTGAAGGATCTTAATCAGGTTTTTTATCAAAGACAGTTTAAGTGGCAGTTACAATCCCCATGGATCATAAGGTGGCAAAGAAAGAAAAACAGGGTGAAGACATTTCACACTCTGTCCCCGCACATGCTCCTGTCTAATTCAACCATAAGCAAAAGGAACTGACAATGAATTCTGCTGCCTGGCTGACATCACCCCAATTTACCTTTAACAGGGCTCTGATAGTCCACATCGAGCTCAGCTGCATCATACCATGAACAGACTATTTTTAACTGGAGGAAAATTGCTTTACAATGTTGCGCTGGTTTCTGCTATACCAAAATGTTAATCAGTCATGATTTTATATGTATTTATACAAAGCACCTCCCAGTGGAGCCTCCCTCCCCTCCCCTCCTCCCACTCCTCTAGGTTGTCACAGAAAGCCAGGCGGGGCTCCCTGTGTTATATAGCAATTTCCCACTAGCTATCTGTTTTACACACGATATTGTATATATGTCATGCTACTTTCTCAATTCGTCCCACCCTCTTTCTCCTACTGTTCCACAGGTCCATGAATGGCTTTTTTAAAACATCCCGCCCCTTGCAAACATTTTTCCACCCTTCCCCCGGTGTTACCTTAACTGTAAATTCAGTAGCAAAAATCTTTTAGAGCTGTTCAGAAATCTGCTTCATTGAAAACTTGAGTTCTCGCTCCTTCTCTTAGTTTATTTGTGTTGGTTTCTGATATCTTTTTTCCTTACCAATCCTAGGGATTTCTTTTCTCTTCACCCCACTCTGCCAGAGGACAAAGGATTAGAATATGAAATGGAAACGCAAAGTGAAAGGGGTTTTTGAAATGTCGCTGAAGGAAACTGAAACCAAAAGCCAAACTCAGTGACTAAATGATTCCAGATGGAGCTTCTTGGTCTGGATATATTTGGATTGATTTGCCGGAAACTGTATATTGTCCATGGAAGAGAACTTTGAAATCATTTGCATTTTTTCCTTCTCCAAACTGTCTTCAAAGCTGTGAAAAAACCACAGTAAGTCTACAGTAACAGTGATTATAACCCCAAAGTAAGGAAGCAGCCATCCTATGCAATTCAGGTCCTCTCTTGCTAAATATTTAGGAATTTTGATATAATTTTTTTCTGAGAAAATCTGAGTTTGACACACAGAATAAACTATTGTATAATTTCAGTGAAAAAGAAAAAAGAAAGAGACTTCCTAAATAAATAAACCAGACGCTAAACAGTTTTAAAGAATTTAAAAAATAATGTCATTAAATGGTCAACAAATGGATTTTTGCAACTGTGCCTTTCATCAGTCGGCAAATATTCAAAGCAAACAGTTTGCTTCATGAACTTAAATGTCAAGTTCCTTCCTCAGGCTTAAGAAGTTCTCAGCTATCATGTCTTTAAATAAATTCTCTGCTCCCTTGTGCTCCTTTCCTTCTGGGAAACCTACTACCCTTATGCCTTTCTTAACGGAGTCAGATAATTCTTACAGAATTTCCTCATTTTTTAATTCTCTTTCCACTTTTGCCTCTATTATTTCTAGATTTCTATCTTCAAACTAATTCACTCTGCCATGTGGTCTGTTCTAATACTTTCTAATGCATTCTTTATCCTGTTTATTGAGTCCTTCAATGGCAGAATTTCTATTTGACCCTTTTTTAGTGTTTCAGTCTCTTTGGCAAAGTTTTCCTTCTGTTCACTTTTTTTATTCCTGAGTTCATTGAACTGCTTTCTGAATTCCTGGAGCACTGTCATTTTCTTTGTGTGATACAGTATTACTGTTCTTCATGTAGTGAAGAGTCATTGGTTCTTGTGCTGATGCATTTAAAGTGGTGAACACCTTTCTTCTTTATGTAAAGCTTGCGTGTGTGTCTCTGGTTCTACCTTTTTTTAAAAAGTGAAAACTATTTATTTATTTTTACAGATATTCATGCTGTTTCAGATTCTTTTCCCATATAGGTTATTACAGAATATTAAGTAGAATCCCCCATGTTATATATGCTTATTAATTATCTATTGTATATAGTAGGGTGTATATGTTAATTGCAAACTCCTAATTTATCCCCCCTACTTGTCCCCTTTGGTTACCATAAATTTGTTTTTGAAGTTTGTGTGTCTGTTTTTGTTCTGTAAATAAGTTTATTTGTATCTTTTTTTCAAAGTCTACATATAAGTGATACCATGATATTTTTATTTGTGGGACTTACTTCACTTAGTGAGATAATCTCTGGGTTCATCCATGTTGCTACAAATGGCATTATTTCATTCTTTCCGATGGCTGAGTAATATTTCATTTTATTTATGTACCATATCTCCTTTACTGGTTCCTCTGTCAGTGGACATTTAGATTCTTTAGAAACAGGAGCCAGTCTTTTGTTTGCCCATAGGTGGCACTACGGAAAACTTGGCACTAGCTAAAGTTTTTTATTTATCTGAGCTGCCTCTGGTTATACTTGAGGGTTAGCACTTTCCACCCTCCACTGCCTCTGGCAGAGCTGCCCTTTGGTGTCTACTTGTCCAGACTTGTGCCTCTAGGGTTGCTGGGGCCTTGGTGCAGGCTGGTATCCCGAGTATCACCATCTGGGGCACCAAAATGGCAGATCCTCCTCTAGAGACCCTAACAAGCATGTCTTAAAGGGAAAATCAACTAAGAATGACTCTATTTTATTCCTACAATATTACATTTGGTTGGTTTTCCACAGCAAGCTGAGACCATACTGGGTCATTGTCTGATCTATTGTAGCATGAATTTTTAGTCACAGTGATGGTGAACTCTCAGTTTTTGGACTGGAATTTGTCTGAGGTGGAATTGGAAATATCAGCTCCTATAGACTCCATTCCCAAATGCAGGCTATATAAAAGTCATGTGAGTATAGCAGATTCCATTAAAGATGTACAGTAAGGTGCATCTCTTTTCCTAAGAATTCTTTGCTCATCACAACTTTGATGGGTATACAAGCCTTCAGTTCAGTTCAGTTCAATCATTCAGTCATGTCCGACGCTTTGCGACCCCATGAATTGCAGCATGCCAGGCCTCCTTGTCCATCACCAACTCCTGGAGTTTACCCAAACTCATGTCCATCGAGTTGGTGATGCCATCCAGCCATCTCATCCTCTGTCATCCCCTTCTCCTCCTGTCCCCAATCCTTCCCAGCATCAGGGTCTTTTCCAATAAGCCAACTCTTTGCATGAGGTGGCCAAAGTATTGGAGTTTCAGCTTCAGCGTCAGTCCTTCCAATGAACACCCAGGACTGATCCCCTTTAGGATGGACTGGTTGGATCTCCTTGCAGTCCAAGGGACTCTCAAGAGTCCTCTCCAACACCATAGTTCAAAAGCATCAATTTTTCAGCACTCAGCTTTCTTCACAGTTCAATTCTCACATCCATACATGACCACTGGAAAAACCATAGCCTTGACCAGACAGACCTTTGTTGGCAAAGTAATGTCTCTGCTCTTTAATGTGCTATCTAGGTTGGTCATAACTTTCCTTCCAAGGACTAAGCATCTTTTAATTTCATGGCTGCAATCACCATCTGCAGTGATTTTGGAGCCCAGAAAAATAACGTCTGACACTGTTTCCATTGTTTCCCCATCTGTTTGTCATGAAGTGATGGGACCAATTTCCATGATCTTAGTTTTCTGAATGTTGGGCTTTAAGCCAACTTTTTCACTCTCCTCTTTCACTTTCATCAAGAGGCTTTTTAGTTCCTCTTCACTTTCTGCCATAAGGGTGGTGTCATCTGCATATCTGAGGTTATTGATCTTTCTCCCAGAAATCTTGATTCCAGCTTGTGCTTCTTCCAGCCCAGACTTTCTCATGATGTACTCTGCATATAAGTTAAATAAGCAGGGTGACAATATACAGCCTTGACGTACTCCTTTTCCTATTTGGAACCTGTCTGTTGTTCCATGTCCAGTTCTAACTGTTGCTTCCTGACCTGCATACACATTTCTCAAGAGGCAGGTCAGGTGGACTGGTATTCCCATCTCCTTCAGAATTTTCCACAGTTTATTGTGATCCACACAGTTGAAGGCTTTGGCGTAGTCAATAAAGCAGAAATAGATGTTTTTCTGGAACTCTCTTGCTTTTTTGATGATCCAGTGGATGTTGGCAATTTGATCTCTTGTTCCTCTGCCTTTTCTAAAACCAGCTTGAACATCTGGAACTTCACAGTTCACATATTGCTGAAGCCTGGCTTGGAGAATTTTGAGCATTACTTTACTAGCATGTGAGATGAGTGCCAAAACTCATTCTCTTTCTACGTTGATAACTCCACACTCTGTTCTTACTCTATCTGCTTTCCTCTACTCACTACCTTGAGTTTTAGAGCAAACATTTCTGCTAAGACTTACATCCTTCTATTTACCACCTCTGCTCTAACACACGTAAATAAATTTTTATAACATGCACGCTTCCCCTTCTATCACAAATTTTGGGGTGAAGTATTCAAATACAAAATTTGTGTTTCATTTTTTTATCATATGTTACCCCAGCAACATATGTTACACTGCTATAGAGTAGAGGGCTGAATTTAAAATTTGAGGCATTATAAATTGTGCAGACACCCTTGCTCTGAAAACCATGTGGAAAAATGTCTTACAGGAGTGTAGAGGCATGCAGCTTAAAATGAATTACATTTTGAGGGCTCTGAGTTTTTGGTGATGTTTCCAGACAAGCAGCAGCTGCTTGTGAAATTTTTCTAGCCACTGAAAAACCGGTGGGCACAGTGGAAGAAAGAGATATTTAGAAACCATCTTCAAAGGCACCATCAGGGACAGTGGCTGCATTGCCCTTTGAACAATTTTAATGCAATCTGGTATAAATTTATTAAATATTTTAAAAATCACATTCTTATTTTGCTAGAACAGAAAAACCAGTGATTTCTTAGAATTGAGCCTATTATACAAGTAGCTGCTTGTTAATTTCAGTTTCAATCTGAATTCTGTTCCAGCAAATGCTGATTCATAGCCTTTAATTGATCTGAGGGATTGTTTTCCTGGCTGGAAAGGATTTACACTAGGTAAAGAAAAGCACAATATCTGAAAATGCCTATAATTTATGGTGATAAGAAGAGAGTCCCAGCACTTCCCCTTTTTATTGTTGCTTCTCAGGACCACATATGAGGCGTTTAGATATTTTAATTGTCTACAAAAACAGGCTGGTCAACATAGTGAGCTGCTTGCCAGGACTGATGTCATGACTTATTACTTTTTATTGTTTTCAATTCATTCTCCATTCAGTAGACAGTGAATTAAAACAATCAAACACCTCAAGGAATCATTTCATTTTTATGTCCAAAAGTTTTTAAAAAATCGAAAGCTTCCTGTGGCAGTGAGTGTAACATGCAGTCTCCTCTGTGGCCTACAAGAATCTACATAATATGGCTCCTGCATGCCCCCTTTCTAAACCCAAACTGTCTCTACCACATGGACCTGCATTCAGGACCCAACATACCACACTGTTGCTCAATGAAGAGTTTTAAACAAAGTCTCCATATGGTTGGAAATCCATTCCTTCATTCCTTTCCTGACTCAATTTTCTCTTAGTAAAAATTCATCTTACATGGAAGCAACCTAAATAGCCATCCACAGAGGAATGCGTAAAGATGTGACATGTGTATATATATATATATATATGCCATATCTGTATATGAAATTTCATATATATATATGAACTTCCCTGGTGGCTCAGTGATAAAGAATCCATCTGTCTATACAGGAGATGGAGAAACGTGAGTCATATCCCTGGGTCAGGAAGATCCCTTGGTGAAGAAAATGGCAAGCCACTCCAGTACACTTGCTGGGAAAATCCCATGGACAGAGGAGCCTGGAGGGCTACAGTTCATGGGGTTTCAAAGAGTAAGATATGACTGGGCACACACACACACACACACACACACACACACACACACACACATACACACAATGGAATATTACTCAGCTATAAAAAAGAATGAAATAATGCCATTTGCAGCAACATGGATGGACCTAGAGACTCTGTCATTCTAA